CACACACACACACACACACACACACACACACACACACACACACACACAACATCTTTTACTGCAGGGCAAATTATTTTAATAACTCGCACATCTATGTTTCTCCAGTGAACGTGTAACTGCAGGAACTTACACAATGCTGGTGCCGCATTTCTCACAGGTGTGGTTTTTTTGGACTCCTCCCACTGATGTGCTTTGTTTCGGGGTGCTAGGCGAAAGTTTCCCTGGGAAAAGCCGGGCTGCCTCTGGAGTCAAAAAAACACACACACACACGAACATGAACAGAGCCGCTAAGAGGGATGTTGCGACAGGCCTGCATCCCTTTCCATCGCATCAACACCTTGTTGGCCTTCACTGCCCTCTGTCAGCGGAGCTGGTTTGTGTTTCCCACTAGTCATCACCCATGGGACACGCTCCATGAAATGGCTTTCCACACATTGGTCATCATCATGTTGTGAAAGTATGTTAGCGCTATCTGGATTTATTTGTCCCGACATTTATGAAAGCAGAGGGGTGGGAAGCCATGATAGGCTGTTCACAATATGAACTCTCCATCCTGCACAGGTGATGGCCATATGGCAACGATGCACTTTTAACAGAGATGATTTTAAAATGGAGAGGTGCCACCAAAACTGTAGGCGGTATAATTTTATGACGTATTTGCAAAGGGGTCATTAAGATATAGATCAGTCTAAATGTTAAGACAAGTTATGCAATCCTGCAAAGCTCCTCCATGCAAACACATGCATGTACTTTTCATCTTGTGTAGGGCCCCACTGAACACAACATTTAACTTATTCACGTATTCTTGCAGGATAAAAATGACAGAATATGCAGGAGAATATTTGTGAAAATATTGAGTATTGCATGCTAAATAGACAGCGATTCTTACTCCTTTCATTTGTGCACATTTGTTTGTAACGTCAAGTGCTTCTAACCTTTCTCGTCAGCCTCCAGGACCTCTTGCAGCATTTTAAAGGTGTTGGACTGACGAGGCGCCGTGCGGGACTCCTTATTCTCCTGAATCATCTTGTACACCTCCGACTCCGTGTCGAACTTCTGCATGGTAAAGTCGGAGCTTGAACTGCTGTAGAAGGAATAAATAAAAATGTAAATCACTGGCTGCAGGTTATCACGTTCACTAAAGTCATACCTCGACATCTTGGCGACGTGTTCAGCAGAAAATGTACATTTATGAAATACTAGGTAGTCTGGTTTCACTGAATCCAGAGGAAATGAAGAAAGAGGCAACAGCTGGTTTTGAGAGGTTGACCTCCGCGCATTAAGTCTAGATTGCACATTACAGGCAAGAGGCCAAACGGTGTCCAACCGTACATCGTTCTCCCAACAGAACCCCGTCAAGAGGCACCGTTCCACTGAGAGTGGAAGCTACATAGAATGTGTGAAATCTTTGCAATAGAAGAGCAGTTCAATCGGTTCAGCAACCATCATTGTGTAAATGAATTAGAAAGTCCTACTGTATGCCTGACACCAGGCGTGATGGAAAACAACAGACATTAGCTTTGTGCCTTGCATTGATACTAAACAGCCACGAAATGACCTCCTGTCAATGCACAGGAGGGGGCAGGCAGCAAGAGGGCACTTTCACCTCGGTTTCTTCAACCTCTGTTGAAGAAACGCATGCATTCAAATCCGGACTGACTGATGATTCATTAGTAAAAAAACAAACAAAGACAAAGTATGTTCTCATGTCGGTGTATTTGTTTGGAGAGAGCCGGAGAGTGTTTGCTGTCAGCAGGATCCGGTTGGTACACTAGCCGAGCCAGGTGTGGTTTGATGCCTGCCACCTGTAGCCAACTTGTCAGCCAGAGTCAGTCAACTTAACCTGACCGACTCTCCCCTCCTGTTGACACAGACAACGCATCTGCCGAAATATGTACTCTTTAACGGACACCTCTGCTGTGAAGAATGTGCTCAGAGACAATGACAAACAAGCTGTGTTAACTCTCTATTGTTGTTCACTGGATCTGAAATAAGTATATAAGCTTTAGTTTGGGCGAACAGGGTAGTGCTTTTTTCTTTTTACACTATCGACAACTATACTGGAATAAGTCATTTGACAAATCAACAAGTCGCATCACATTTGGTTTTAACGCCTTTGAAGTCTATGGCATTTATGAACCGCAGACATCAGCAAATACTTGGCATCTTCTCTGGTGATACTCTGCCAGGTTTGTGCTGCTGCAATCTTCACTTCTCTCTTGTTTCAGGCTTTTGACTTCAGTCTGTCAAACAAATGCTCAGTTGGATTAAGGTCAGATGACAGACTTGGCCAGTCAAGAACATTTAACTGGCCAGAGAAAAAGAAACTCCCTGGATGCTTTGGTTTGATGTTTAGGATCACTGTCCTGCTGCATTGTCCTATCTAATTGGGGACTATGCACAAAAAGGGACGCTTACAGCTGAAAGTCAGCACTTTGACCTCATAGTGAAAGGTCTTATTTTAATAGAACATAAATAAAACAGTGTGAAAAAAAAACAGTCACTGTCCATATAATTATGGACCTCTCTTGTACATGCAACATTCATCAACATGTTACATAGAAAACAACATCTCACATGTTCACAGTGGTTCTTAAGCTTCATGCTTGGCTGTGTACATGTATTCTTCCTGCCTGCATTTCAGCTTCTTACCGCTAAAGGAACATAGCTGAAAGGGGAGATGGCAAACAGACAAACATGTGACCGAGGCAAACGCTCAGACCCTTCGTCTTAATCACAGAACATGGTTCAAATTGAAAACAGACTTCTAAACCACACCCTCCAAGTTCTCCACATGCTCAGCAGCTCCACCCTCAGCGATCCATCTCCGCCCACCATCCCTTTTAAAATTCTCATTCTCAAAGTAAATGGGAAGTCGAGGTCAAATGGCAGGAAAACAATCAACAGAGGTGAGGGTGAGAGGGGACAGCGTGCATCTGAACAAGCAGTCGGGTGCACAAGGATTTGCAGTGGAAGCATTTTCTAAAAGTATCATGTATCAGTAGGTCATCTGAGAATTGTGCATTCAAATGATGTAACATCTACACAATGTAGATGAATGTGTTGCTGGTTTCCATGCACAGACTTTGGACGGAGCTGCAATGATAAAGAAGTAGTCACAGCACATGAGCGTAGCCAAAACATACAACATCACAACCACAACCAAATTCCAACCACATTTCTCAAACAGTCTTACTTGCAGTACATCTAAACCACAGTCGGTACATCCTGACAAAAGAAATCCAAATGACAAAACTCGAAATGACAAGACTCACCTCAAACCGAAAGAAAGAGGCAACAAAGACAGATAGCGAAGCTATTCTTCCCAGTAACTGTCCCTGAATTTCAATGATGTAGCAACTCGGAACATACACGAGAAAAAACAATATTAGATGCCTACCACACACCTCTATCTTAACCAGATGACACAGAAAAACAAGATTCTAACTGAAAGGTGTGCCTCTGGGTTGAAACTCATTGGACATGCGACATGGAGGGGTGGGTAAATGGGTGTCACTGAGTCCATGATTGGCTGAGGAGGAGCTGGAAGAGGCTTGGTGTGCAGGCCGGGGACTCCAGACTGGGGGGCCAATCGGGGGGAGAAGTAAAAAATCTGACTTTTTAGGGAATATGGGGTGTTTGGACTATGACTGCAGTCGCTGACACGTCATATCACTAGCTGTGGTTACCCAAGATGGAACTGGGTCCAAAGTCAACCATCCCTCACTGTGAAAACACAGGCACCAGGCTCTCCAGCAGAGGGAGTGGACCACAGAGGAGTGTGTGTGAGAGACTAAAAGAAGATTTTCATTTCTGCTGAGACAAAAAGCTTTGGAGAGTATGAGTGAATCCAAAAAATGTTCAGAGGGCAGCACCTGCACGTTATGAACTGTCAAATTACAGCTGCATCACCTCATCAGAGGGGGCGAAGCAGGAAAAAGCAAACTGTAGACACAATATATTGTTTCCCAAATGCTGAAAGTTAATTTGTTGTTGTTGACTCAGAGTGCAGCTGCAAACAGCTCGAAGCACCAACGGTCAGCTGCAACACAGCAGTGATTTCAAAAGCTGACTCACAATTGTGCACTAACTGTATCGACAGACTAATCAATCCATTTGCACTTTCAACTGAGTTTCCACACAGACCTTTTGAAAGGAAGAAAAATAATTACAAATATAGAAAGGAATGTTTCCAGAAGAAGTTTGCTACCAGCTGAATTCCAAATATGGGTAAAACTGCAATAACCTCATGTAATCCAAAACAATATCCCTGCAAAAAAAATTACTTTTGTCAGGCTTACGGTGACCATTTTATGTTGAAACAGTGAGAGCGGTTGACCCAACCATACTGTAGGTGTATGTAGATACCATTGTGTTAGACGAGATTACACTCTTCCATAAAACAATTCAGAAGTAAATACAGCCTCAAACATTAACTAAATGCATTTTCCTTACAAAGGCAGTTATTACTGCTAGTGCTAGCTCATCGTGAAAGCTTCCCTTATTGTTTTTTCCTTTGTGTATGAAATGACTATTGGCAAGAAACAGGAAATTTGTATGCTTGAATCTGTGGGTGTAAACCCTGGTGGCCTATAGATGGCACTGAATGACTGCCTGTACAATGTACACACTGTTAGATAGGACACCATCCTGCTACTGCAAATATGTGGAAGCTTTACACTTCTGAAGAGTGACTATAGTTTTATGGGCTAAAATGAAGACAAATATATAGGTAGCTCTGCATGTTGTGTATTCTGTGGACTGTAGAAACATCTGGTTGTTTGTATTCAAGCATATAATTTAAGTACAATGTGTCTTTATCCCCCACTATTCCAATAGTTGCAGTACAAGCGATGACCGATTTGGAATAGCTACTGTATATCTGGTGAGATTTGCAATATCATATTTCCACTTTATGATTCACTGCAACCAAAGATGAAACTTAAAAATTAGAGGTGTTCATCCATAGCAGACTGCAGTCACTTTTGCGGTGTTGTCGTCATGTTTTATTGGTGTAAAATTGGGAGTGGTCTTTACCTGCGCCGAGGGGACATGGGTACGTCCCGATCAATGGGGCTGTGGGGCGAGTAGCGTCCTGGCGGGGTCGGGGTTCTGCTGGACACAGAATTATTCCTGTAGTCGGAAGAGGAGAACTCCTGTGGAGGAAGAGGAAAGCGTCAACGAAAGAAAGATTGTGAGTGAGCATGAAAGCCAACAGACATGCAGCAGCTGAAATCAAGTTTGCACCTCAGAGTTGAGGAATCAATTGATGACCATGATGCAATGGTACTGTAAAAGAAAAGTTACAATAAGAGCTACAGTATGTTCAGTGGAGAGGCAGGAATTCACCAGCAGTATATCTGGATCGCTGCTCCTCCAAGCAGCATATTGGCACTGAACAAATGTAGCGTCCTTGTTTCAGTAAGCGCTAAATCTGAGGGGATTAAAACAAATTCCGACACACTATGTCGGCGGATATATTTTGTCAGGATCAAAACAAGAGAGATTTATCAGTTGACTAAAACCAGCTCCAGATAAAGAAACACTACATACAAAACACCACGGATCCTTTTTACTTCACCGTCATCGATGACTTGACTGAAACCTGGAGAAGTTCTTTCAGCGTAGAATAAACAATAGACTTTGTCATTGTATGTGATGCCCCGTGCTCTCAAAGTTCCTATTGCATGAGTCACACCCCAGCATTCTTCTACTGCAGTCTGATCAGTCTCAACAGTCACAGCGACCCACATCATTTTTTATTTTTTTTTCTCTTGATTACCATTTATATCAGAGCTGTGCTTCAGCCCCTCAGCTGATAGATTGTGTGGCAACAGATGTTTGGCTCTGACTCCAGAGTTGGTCTGATGGGAAAGACAGAGCCAGCATGTACTTCAATGGCTTCCAGATGCTGTGCAAATCTCATAATTATTCATGATAGTTATAAACAGTGTTCATCGCCACGAAATGAGTGGAGACATTCCACACAGCCAGAAGCTCTTTAAGCCAAACTGAACACTTGGAGTACAAACAATAGTGTAATTCAGGAAGGAAAGTCTTAGTTATTAAGGGAGTGTTTGACTCTTAACAGAAGAGGGCGCTGCACACCTATTGTACACAAGACGCTCATAAACTAAGGTCTCAGCATATGTGCCAATGATATTTTTTTTATTGGAGCCGTTAGCAGAATCCAAAGGCAGAATACACGGTTACAACACTGCGGGCAAAGGTTGACCTATTAAATTACGTCATAAGAGTGCAGGAGTGAGCAGCTAGTGAAAGTGACCTCAGGCACATGTTCACACTAAACACTCAGCACACCTGGACTAAGACTGCACAGCACATAACTCAACCCAGACACTTTTACTGTCAGGAATTCCAACAAACTAATCGTTTTAAACCACAACACTGTCTGGCATCTAATCGTGTCCACCTGTAATACTGACCACTTACTGATCCCAGAAGGCATACCCATGCACTGCTGCAACATTCAATCGAACAAAACAACACATTCACAACTCCCAGTTTACTGGGAAACAATGCTCTTAGTTTATTTCAGGTCTGTGCACACAGTCCAGGAAAACATTGAGTTTGAATCAAGCAGCCCACGGACAGCTCAAGGAGTACCGATTTCACAATTGGGCTCACTAAGTTTTTCTCCCTCAACCGTCAGCTGGCATCGGTGTAACGCAGGCTCCATCCAAGGGAGAAGCGTCTCCACCCGGGTCTTTCAACTGGTACATGTCTGAGACTCAATTTTGAGGTGATGCTGGAGCTCCACGCAGACACAGTGGCACTGATTGAGTCAAAGATTTGCGTCTCCAATGCAAGCACCCGCTTCCAATTCAGAAACTCTTTGAACAATGTCTCTGTTCTCAATCGAGTCCAATTTTCCTCTTCTTTTTCCTTAGCGAGTGGGCAGATTAGTGGTGCGTGCCAGGAAGCCTTTACCAGAAATGATCATTGGGACGTCTGCCTGTGATTCCTCCCAGGATAAACCCAGTATAATAACTACAGGCTCATAAGATCACATATTCTTTCATCAGAGTACAAGAGTAGAGAGACCCATGTCCTCTCCTGCTGTGAACCAATCTCACGGGCATATACCCGATAGACATACATGCTTAAGGTATTATTTCAGGAAGACCTAGTGAATCCACACAGTATGTGCAGATGAATCCACACAGTATGTGCAGATGAAGCCACAGCAATGCGAACCAAGCCTTTGTTATACAAGTGTCCGGCTACTGAATGTAGATCTTCATGCTCTCCAACAGCAGAAGAATTACGGATGGAATCACAACTCTGATCTACGAGACTCAAGAGGAATGCAATGAAGTAAAGAAAAACAAAAGGGAGGAGGGAGAGAGAAGAAACAAGCGCTCCACTGTGACAGCAAGAATGCAGCTGTGATTGAGCTCGACCTTAGCAAGTTCAAAAAAACGTCAGCACCACCAGAGCAGTTCCTCCATCACCATCATCCACTCTACAGTCTCCGATGCCAGCCTTTTATAGCAGTAACAGGTCATGCTGGTGATGGCCTTAAACAGGGCTCCCTAAAACATCTTTGTTCTAAAATCATCACTGCTCCATTGGAAGCCATCGGACCATTACACACAGCTGATCTCAGAGCTACAATGCAGAATACACTTGGTTAACTGCACCACGTCTCATCCATAAACAAACTTGGAGGGTAGCACACAGGATCATTAGGGCAAGTCAATGGTATGCTGTGCTGGCCTTGAGCTGCATAAACAATAACATATCCAACCTAAAAGTATGTCCCTTTAAGTGTTGCACTTTTGTCAGTAAATTTGTGAATTCATGCATGTTGACACTCGCACCCCATTTTATTAGGCTCAATCAGCTTCTTGTGATGAGCAATAGGGTATAATAATACAGACACTATTTTCTGCCAAAGCTAGAACAGTTTGGACTATTTAACATGAGCTCTGTATGTTTTTGTCCAAGCTTTTTTCACTGTGGATGAGGTTCAGTTGGAAAAAGGTGATGCCACCTGTCATTTCAGAGCACCAATTAGGATTGAGCAACATTTGAATCCAGATCTGATGACAATATTTGGTTGTTTGCTAATGTTGTTCATCAAATCAAACCCACACAGTCCTGATGAAGCAGATTAGCTGAGTTTTCTTTTGTGTTAAACTCATAATAAATAATACCAACGGATTTTCTTTTACAAACATTAACTTTGATTAATGCTTGTTTAGTGAGATAAATGCTTCAAGTTTTCAGAGGCTTTAATGTTGAAATATCTATCTTTCTGCGGCAAGACATCTGCAGCAAAGATGGCAGAAGAGTTGTGGAAAGATGTGTTGAAACCTGCTGTTTATTTGAATTATCCATCTATCCGTTGCATATAACTGCTTTATTCCTGGAAGGGGCGAGGGGGCTGGAACCTATCCCAGGATGCATTGGGAGAGAAACAGGGTATGCCATGGCTGTATAAAGAGAACTGGATACAGTGTTCATTCCTATGAAAGTTGCTCAGTGGCCCATGAAGCCAAAATGACTTAACTGAATTATAAAATTACCCAGAACTTTCCCAAAGCTTCCGCATCTATGAGTCCATAGAGCAAGCGCACTAGCGTTTCCTTCAACCCCGCCTCCCAGCTGCTCGGTCTTAGGCTCCTTCACATGAACAGAGGGAAGAGAATAACTCTGGATTATGGCTATTAGTGCATTTTACAACTTTTAGGACCTAATGATTTAAATAAAGGCTTTTAATTGTTTGTTCTGGGAAATTTTTCTCACTCATGTTTCAGACGTCTGTCTTTTAAATTTATGTGAAAAGGTTGTTTGAACCCAATGGCATCACATGAAGGACATGAAAGGTGTAATTTCACAGTTGGGCCCCTACAGAAATTGCCTTCAAATTCCTACAATATTCCTGGGCGCTTGAGATCAATGTCAAACTGTGACAATCAGATTCAGTTTGGTTTCTACATATGAAAATCCAAACGTGTGCTTTCCTTGTTCTGAACGTATTTATTTTTTTGTATTGTCAACCAAGACAGATGTGACCGAACGAGTCATAGCAAGAAACATTTCTTAAGAAATAAAGGGATTGTCCAATCACATTAATTGTGTCAATTTGTTTGATTTACATCGCTTTAACAATCTGTGTTTATCAGTGATTTAGTATACATGTATTATATTATGTGTTTTTATAACCAATTTTTAAAAGTGTTCTCCGTTGCTCTAAAAAGCATTTGTGGATGACTGATCCTAAATATCAGGATATGATTTAAGTAAATGACTGATCAAGTGTGACTGGCTTAAGTGCAGGGAAAAGGCTTGGTATTGGAGGGAAAATGGAGGTTAAACTGTCAAAAACGCAAGCCAATCACTCCATCACAGGAACAAGCCTCTGGTTCATTGGCCACTTCAAGACACAAACAAGAGATGGTGAAGAGAAGTGAGGGCAGCTGTTTCATATCAAGGCCCATGTGAGATGTTGGGGGACAGTGCCAGTGGAGGAGCCTTCAGTCTGGCTCCAAGCAAGCCACTCTGCATCATCGTCATTACCACCCTGCATCTTCAATTACAGGGCCAGCAGTGCACAGGGCCGATTGCCTTGGGGATCCTTTATTTTGGGAAGCTTAATGCTGCTGTAAGAAAGTGCCATAACTGCTCATTCACCGTCTCCACCACAGACATGACTGCGTGCACTACAATGAGGCGGGGGACAGCAGACATCCTGGGCTGGGTATTAATCAGGGCTGTGTACAGTGTTTCCTATCCAGCAGTGTGCATTGGTGGAGGTCCTGAGCGAAGACCCGAGGCTGACTGTAACCTACTCGTTATCCACTGTCACTGATGGACCCTGCCTTGTAATTATGTCTAAGTGATGGTGCATCACTGTGTCCATGTTCTGTAACAAATAAAACATGATTGTTTTGTATCAAAAATCATGTCATTAACATTCTTCAGCTTTTTTTATTGCCTCATTGCAGCTCCTTTACATAAGGCCTCAGACTAAATAATGACAAGACAACAAGTGGACTTAGTACAACTCCTATAGAGGCTGCTACAAGTCATGACCCCTTTCCTCTATTTGTGCGTGTTTTCAAGTCCAACATTTAATATACGTAGGATGTATATAGACGATCTAGTTTTCTAACCTTAGGGCATGCTT